GAATGCTTAACTTGCACAAACACTAAATTATTATAGCCCTATAGAAACCTAATATTAAGATGTCATTTAAGGTGAAAGTTGCAGCCAGGCTAAAGCGTGATCAAGTCTCTGAGCATAGTGTTGGGACAAGTGTTTGGTGCCATAGGAGTTCAAATTTCATAATTATATTTGAACAGCACTCTAAAACTAATAAGTGTGCAATGATTTTGTAGTCTTCAAAGTTAATGATCGTTTAACTTGCACAAACACTTGATAAATTATTACAGCCTATAGAAAGTAACATTTAGGATGTCATAGCTTAATGTCATCTGTTTAAAAGTGGCCATCTTGAATACAATTAACAATTTAAATTAGACTATCCTTTGTATCCAACTGTATTTATGCTTAACCCTCAAACATCCTTTGAACACAGTTTGTCTTTCTACTGATTTCCTTTCTGATAATTTAATGAAACTGTGCCATGTAATAGCCAATCTATGTATTTGAGAAATTTATTTTAATGCCTATCAAATCTTTTAACATCTATCCTGCCCAAGAGATGCTGTACCTCAGCTTCAATTCAACTCCCTTCAGAAGAGCTTCACACACTAAAAAAAAAAAAAAAAAAAAATTATTTTTTTCTTGGAAACAATGTTTCAAAATGTTTCAGCACTTGATCTCTGCTCTGTTATTATGAATGTTGTATAAAGATTGCATATTGGCTGTTCCATAATATTTTAATTTTTGATAAACAATGTCTCTTCCAAAGCAACTAGGAGTATAATATAAAGGTAATCTAAATTATAGATAGAAAGTCTACAGTATGTACATTTTGTCCATACAGGTCTACCTCTTTCATTGGAAAACCTTAGAATCAGATGCATTTGGCAACTCAGAATTTTTTGGATTTTAGAAAAATAATGCACTGCCTACCATATTTATTATGTAACACTCACAGTGGTGTCTAGAACAGCTCCACAGGATGAAACTCATTAATAATTTTGCAGCAAAATATATAAATATTCACACTAAGTGTGGTTGTGATAGATAAAAACATACATAACCCCATGTTAGTTCAAGTCAAGTTCCACACCCAAATGCATTTTGGTGCCAAACTTATGAAAAATTTTGACTTTGCCAAGAATTTTAGATTCTTGGCATATACTTAATGCTCAGAAAATTTTCTTTGCCCAAATCTAAAATAAAATGGTTCAAAAGGTAATTCTCCCTCTCTTCAGTGTGTCAGATGTGAACCTTGATGGCTGTGTGCTTTTGTCCTTACTAAACTGAGGTCTTTCCAAATAGATCAAACCCATATCAAACCAATGGAGGAAATCACAATTAAGGCTAAATGTTATCCCTAATAATCTGTAACAACACTAACTTTTCTTTTTCCTTCCTAATTCCTTTTGATAGGTGAATGTGTCTAATACTTGATAGCATTATTTCCCTTGGGGGATATGTAGCGTATAGATACACACTGGCTGGTTGGTTGGTTGATTTTCATTTGGGTGTTCTTCAAATGAAATACTTTGAGTCTCTTGTAATTGTCTGCACACTCGTGCATGACAACATCTAGCTCCTATGCTCCTCTGAACACAGTCTGTCAAGTCCCTTCTTGGCATGGTCCCTTTTGGGCTGATATTTTGACAAGCATCTGATATGCTGTAGCTCTCAAAATCCATTGCTTATTTAGCAAAGGAGTCAGAATGACCACAGGATTTATGCACCCTCTCCGCTCTCCCTCACATGTCCCTTCAGAGGTTTTCTGTGACAGGCAGTTTAAGAAGCACTGTGCTAAGAGACGGCTAGCTCCTCTCAGTCCCTCAACTGCTACTTGAAAATTAGTTTGAATGTAATTTCTCTTCCATTTTTCCACCAAAAGACTTCCTTCCCAATCAAGCTTTATCCACGCATTTATCATTGTCAGAAAAGATGAATGGCAAAATTATCACACAGAAGAAGATTAAAACTCAATGTTTTAATACTTTTACAATCGTGTTCTATTATTCTTCCTGGGAGCTTTAATAGATAGTCAATGAGAGCCAGCAGTAAAATTCTGCTTTGATTCAAATTCTGGATTTCCCACTTAATAGATGACCTTGAACCAGCTGTATTGCTCAGCTGTGTGATAATGCCCACAAAGCTTACCATGAGGATAAATTAGTTAACACCTGTAGACTACTCAGTGCCTGTATACAGTAAACACTAATGAAAAGTTCATATAATTAAAATACATCTAAAACTGCTAGGAAGTCCTGTTCTATACAAAGCCCATAAACAAATAAATATGTAAAATGTACTAATAAAAAGTACTTCTCAAAACATGTGACTTCTGAACAGTAAGTTTCTGACTCACTTTTTCCTATGGTATTGTAAATTTATATGTGGTTCCAAGACTGATCACAGTCCTCATTATTTCTCTCTGCATGTACTTAATGCTCAGAAAATTCTCTTTTCCCAAATCTAAAATAAAATGGTTCAAAAGGTAATTCTCCCTCTCTTCTGCTTGAAATGGCCTTCCCTCTTACAGTTTCAAGTTTTTAGTTATCTTTTTAGATTAAGGGTGACATTTCTTCCACAAAACCTCCACAGATTCTCTGTCCCACCTTTAATACCCTAAGTATATCTCTCTCACTGTTCTTCTATAGTGTTTAAAATTCCCTATTCTTTCCTCCTTCCCCATCTTATTGAGAGCAAGGAGAGTTTTATGTATCTTTGTCTTTCCATTGATTCTTAGAGTGCTTGACATAGGTTGGCGGGTAGGGATACAAGAAAGTGTAATTCAAGGAAATGACTGACTTCATGATTCAATGAGTGAAGCTTGCATCAAAGCAAAATAGCTACCATTTCTTACCAAACTGGCCTCATTTTACATGCATTTCATACCTCATTTGTAAAATACATCAAATGTGAAATCTTTACTTCAAGAGTACTATATTTAGAATTCGAGAAATTGTGCCTGATTGACAGAGTATGAGACCAAATTTTCTTATTTTGTCTGTATTTTTCCCCACTGGAAAAAAAAAAACTGCTACTTGGAGAAACTCCCCAGGGATTATGCTTTTAATTAACCTGGTGAGAATTGAGACATCATGAATTTTAAACTTCTTCTGGTGACTCTACTGCATTGTCAATGCTTGGAACCACTGACCTAGGTCATGCTTTATGTTTATCAGGGCTTGTTTACCTCACTCAACCAGGTTCCTAACAAGAGCCGAGGCTTTCCACTTAGTTGTACATTGGGTCTTGGAGAACCTTGTTCCCAGCACCTATTTTGGGTAGCTTGCATAGGAAATATTAGGACGCTGGTTCTTCACATCTTGATAGTGTTGTGCATTTTATTAAAATTTTGTGTGAGAATGATAGCTCTTTGTTCTAGAATGCCCTCAAACTTGCCCAGCTGGAGCTACTGAATTCGTGTCAATAGATTTCAGCCCATTGTAAACCCTCGTACTAATGTTCTTTCTGGGCTTGTAAATACCATATGCCAAGTGGAACTTGTCTTATGACTGGTCAAGGTCTTACCCTGGTTCCTAGGTCCCTACTCTTAGCTATATGCCTTAGTAACTGGGCTCCTGCTTGTGTCTTGAGTATGAGTGGCTAACGCTCCTAGCAGCTGAACTTCCTAACCCTTGGAACCACCTCTCCTTAACTGGATACCATGAAGCCAAGCACCCACCAACCTGGACGGGTGTAACCTGGATGGCAATGCTTTGGACTTAATTAAGGATATGAACCCTTTTGTCTCTTTTTTGAATCTACATTTGAAAACATGTCCTTCTAAGTCTCTTTCTCAAATTACCCCTTCCTATTTTTCTCAGTCTTGTGTGGACATACAGAGCTTTTCTGTGATGTAAATCTGCCTGAACTCTTATTTCTATTTCCCCCCATATTCTTACAGGAATTAAGGGTTACTTCTGGTGAGAAGTAAAATGAAATTACTTCTGAATTAGAAATACAGAAAGCAGAATCCTTTGACTTCCACAAGCTTGATAACCATCATTTTAAACTTGACATTAACCTATATTTTCAGTGCAGGAGAGAAATAGTTAAGCTCCAAAGCCCCAGGAAGGATTCTTTTTTTATTTAAGTATTCTCTACCCAGTTGAAATCTACACAGTAAAGCTATAATCAAATTTCTGACTGTATCTGACGAGAATTCAAAACAATATACCATTGCTCACATTATATCTGTTTTAAAAAATACCAATAATTATTCATCTTCATAAAAAACAAAGGTCAAGGCAATTAATTTAGGGAGTGCCCCCAATAGTAGTTTGGGCAAATGTAACTAAATGTTTTTAGCTGACATGTTTGTCAATAGAGAAAAAATAATCCATTATAATAAAAATATGCATTTGCAATTGAGGCAATTGAGGAACACTGACCTGATATGTACCTAAGCTGATTGCTGTACATAACCTGAATTGGGACTCTCCCTTTACCAAAAGCAGGCATCTGGATGCTGTAATACTTAGGCCATCACTTCACATACAGGGAAAAACCCTTCCAAACAGCCCAGACCTTACTTTATCAAAAAAGCCCACATATAGCCAGGCCTATCAGTATCACTCAAACCTTGCTTTTGGGGCTAAGGATGTAGCTCAGGGGTATAGCACTTGCCTGGCAAACAAGAGGCCCTGAGTTCCATCTCCAGCACCACTAAAATAAGAGGAAAAAATTGCTTTTTAGATGGATAAAGAGTTCCTTATCCAAACCTCATATCTCAGACCCCAGATTGTGGGTTGGGTTCTCTGCTTTTCTATACAAAGTTTTTCTACTCTGGACTTAAGTCTCTTGGTATTTATTTTCTATTTAATAGGATTAATATATTCTTAAGATTCTTTTCCTGACTGCATATGTTGCATATATTCATAATAGCCTATTGAAAAATGCCAGGTATAGTGGTACACACCAGTAAGCCCAGCCACTCTAAGGGATGAGGCAGGAGGATCTCAAGTTCCAGGCCAGCCTGGGCAACTTAGCAAGACCCTATCTCAAAATAAAATGGAAAAAAGAGCGGCGGATGACCGTTTGCCAGGCCAAATGGAGCTTGAGGCCATGACCAGATACACCAGCCCAGTAAATCCAGCTGTCTTCCCCCGTCTGACTGTGGTGCTTCTAACTATTGGCATGTTCTTCACCGCCTGGTTCTTTGTTTACGAGGTTACCTCCACCAAGTACACACGGGATATCTACAAAGAGCTCCTCATCTCCTTGGTGGCCTCACTCCTTATGGACTATGGAGCCCTCTCCCTCCTTCTCTGGGTTGGCATCTACGTGTGAGCTCCCAAGGGTACCCGCCAGGTGGCTTCCCTAAATCCCTGCTTTTGTAAATTAATTTTGTTACTGTTGCTAGAAGTGTCCCACCTACTGCTCGAATAAAGGCAGATGTGTGACAGAAAATAAATAAATAAAATGGAAAAGGACTAGGGATATAGTTCAGAGGTGGAGCACTTCAGGATTCAATCTCCAATACCACAAGAGGAAGAAAAGAAAACAAACGTTGAACAATGCAAGTAAACACAATAAAGAAGCCAGACATGGTGGCGTACCAGCAACTGGGGAGACTGAGGCAGGAGAATTATAGTTCAAGGCCAGCTTCAGCATCTTAGCAAGAACCTCAGCAATTTAGTGAAATAAAAAATGATTTTTAAAAAAAGGACTAGGGGTATAGAGCAAAGTGCCCCTGAGATCAATCCCCAGTACAAAAAAAAAAAAAAAAATCTACAACCCAAATGATGTGTGATGTTTATCTTACAAGTTTTTAAATATATCTCTAACAGCCCCTGTTTTATAATCCAGATTTTTAAAATTTACTTTTAACATGTAATATTTCTATGTCCTTAAATATTTTCCTATATCATCATCTTTCTTTCTTTCTTTCTTTCTTTCTTTCTTTCTTTCTTTCTTTTTTTTTGTTTTCAGCTTCATAATGTTGGTTAAAGGGCACAAACTTTTAGATGTAAGCTGAATAAGTTCTGGAGATCTAACATACAGCATGGTGACTGTGTTAGTCATATTTTTGTCTCTGCAACCAAGACCTGCTGAGAACAACTTAGAGGAGGAAAAGTTTATTTTGGCTCACAGTTACAAATGTCCATGGTCAATAGACTCCACTGCTCTGGGCATCATGACAGAAGGGTGTGGCAGAGTAAAGCTGTTCAGCTCATGGTGAACAGGAAAGGGATGGAGGAGTCAGGGACAAAATATAATCCCCAAGTGACCTACTTCCTTCAGTCCCACCTGCCTACAGTTACCACCTAGTCAGTGCATTCAAATTATTAATCCATCCAAAATGGATTAATCCACTGATGAGGTTACAGCTCTTATCTAATCATCTCACCTCTGAACACTGCTACATTGCATATCATGCATCCAACATAAGAGCTTGTCTGAGGACACTTCATATTCAAACCGTAACAGTGACTATAGGTAGTAACTGAATTGTTTACTTGAAACTTGATAAGAGAGATGTGTACTCACACATGCACAAAATGAGAACTATGTATGGTGATGGACTTGTTCACTTGATGGTGGTAATTGTTTCACAGTGTCAATGTATATCACATCATCTTGTTCTACACTTGGAATATATGTAATTTTTATCTACATCATCTTGACAACTACATACTATTCCAATGAATGACTGTGTCATAATTTGTTTACCCTTTCTGTTGTTTCTAATTTTTTATTATAAACATGGAATGATGCACAATAAGCTATTAGAATGATTACCTGGGAACAGGGAATGATGATATTGATGAAAGGAGAAGGTAGATAACAAGGTAGTTAAACAAGAAAGAAAAAAAAAGAAATATACACATGCACGCGCGTGTACACACACACACACACACACACACACACACACACACACACCCTTACCTATGATATGATCTTTCTAAAATCTTTCTCCATAACAACATGTGCACATACCCTTTGGCGCAGCTCATAAAGTAAGTGGATTAGATATATCAGGACACTCATTGCAGAACTGCTTGAAACAGAGTTCTTTCGTGAACCAGTCTTCAAGAACCATACAACTCTTGACAAGGCCAACGAGACTTCCATGTGGCTAAAGGGAAGTTCTCACTCTTTTACCCACTATTCAAGTGGATTCCTCACGCCTTCCTGAAACTCTCTTCATTGCCTTGTGGGACTCAGCACTTTCTGGGTTCTCCTCTTACCCCACTATTAATGCCTTCTCTGCCCATTTTGCTGATTCCTTTCCATCAATACATCCTACAAAGATCAAAGTGCCCAGGGTACAATCCTTACACTTCTCTCTTTAGTTACCCTCTGAATGATCTCATCTAGTTCAATGTCTTTAAATAAAGCTCCACATGGATGCCTCCAGCCCAGATCTCCTTATCCATGATCTCTCTTTAACTCTAGACTTGTACATCCAACTGTCTGCCTGCCTTCTCCACTTGCATGTCTAACAGACATCTCAAACGTGACAAGATGAAATTTTCCCTAACCCCCATCAAAACCAACTGCTTAAGCTGGCATGGAGCTTCTCTCGCTGTCTTCATCATTTCAGTAAAAAATGCAACTATATTTTCCAGGTTTTCTGACCAAAAATCTGAAGGTATTGTTGACTTCCCTTTTTTATTTACAATTCATATCCAAACCATCAACCAATTCTTTTATCTTCAAAATGCATCCAGAATCTCACCATTTCCCATCACCTCCACCAACAAGCTTATCTCTAAGGTGTTGTGATGGTCTCTTTTGTGATCTCTCTGCTGTCTTCTTCCGTGCTCTGAACGGAGCAACCAGTTGTGTTAGTCAGCTTTACATCATTATGTCAAAACAATTGAGATTTTTTTAAAAAAAAAAAACTACAAAGGACAAAAGACATCTTTCCCTTATGATTTTGGAGGTTTCCGTTCGTGGTCCATTGACTCTGTTGTTTCTGGACCTGGGTGTGGTAAGACAGAACATCGTGATTTGGAGTATTTGGTGGAGCAAAACTGTTCACTTCATGAAAACCAGGAAGGAAAGGAGGAGTAGGAGGAGGAGAAGAAGGGTTATTGTCCCAAAATACCCTTCCAGGGCACATTCCCAGTGGCCTTACTTCTCCAATAAGACCCCACATTGCACAGTTTTTACCACCTTCCTTTTGCATCACCATCTGGGAACCAAGACTTCACACACATGAGCCTTTGAGAAACAGTCCAGATCCAAACTATAACAACAGTCATTTTTTAAAACATACTTCCCTTCTTCCTCTCACCAATACTTCCCATCTCACTGGATCTGCCCTATCCAGACTGGTGTTACAAATTGCTAGCACTCTCTGTCTCAGGGCTTTGAACTTGATGTCCTTGATGCTTGAGATAATTTACTACCAGATATCTACGGAACTTCCTTCACTAAATTTATTACCCTGCTTTGCTCTTCTCCATATTATGCTCCACTTATTTCCACCAGATATAATAAATATTTACTTGTTCATTCCTTTATCGTCTGAATCTCCCATAGTAATTCCATTAGCACAAGTAATTGGTTAGTTTTGTTCACTGCCAGATTCCCAGCACCTAGTACAATGCCTGGAATATAGTAGATATTTAGAAAATATTTGTTGAATGAATAAATAAAATTTCAAAATCTTGTCACAGTAGCCCACCTATAATCCCAGCAACTCAGAAGACAGATGCAGGAAGATCACAAGTTCAAGACCAGCCTCCACAACTGAGTAAGACCCTTTCTCAAAAAAAAAAAAATCTGGGGATTTAGCTTAGTGGTAGAGCATCCCTGGGTCCAATCCCCAGTACCACCATGAAACAAACAATAAGATTAAACATAAAATTACATAACATGTAAAAACAGAAGAAAGTGATGCAGAAGATTATCTGCTATTATCTAACCTTTTTAGAGGTACATTGCTCAACACAATAACCATTAGACATATGTAGTCACTGAACACTTAAAAGTTTGACTAGTCTAATCAAGACGTGGTATTACAGAAAAGTCCATTGTTTTAGTTAGCTTTTTTTTTATTGCATGCCACTGTCTGAATGCTATGCTGTCTAGAAATTTCTTCCATCAAATTAAGAAGTCCATTGCTTTTAAAATCAGCCTCACAGAATGTCTCAGGACATGGGAAAAATGCAGACAACTTCTCAATCAGAACATAACATGAATTCAGATTCCAATAGTGCCTTCCTTTTCCTCTAAACCTCATGAGCCTAGTCTTCTTCTTTACTGTACACAGTCCTATTGACATGCTGGTCTTCTAAGCTCCCACCAGAATCACCTATTAAACTCCACTAACAACAATCTAAAGTATTTCCAGCGTGCACTGCTAAACATATCAAAATTTCTCCCACAAATTCCAAAAAAATTTCAAATGCTTAAGAACTACATGGTCAGGTTAGTCATAGCAATGACCCCACTTCTTGGTACCAATTTCTGTTTTAGTCAGCTTTTTCACTGCTATGACTAAAAGACCCAATAGAACAAGTGTAGAGGAGAAAAAGTTTATTTAGGGGCTCATGGTTTCAGAGATCTCTATCCATAGACAGCTGGCTCCATTCTTCAGGGCTTGAGATGAGGGAGAACATCATGGCAGAGTGCGTAGCAGAGGGAAGCAGCTCACGTGATGATCAGAAAGAAGAGAAACTCACTTGCCAGATACTAAATATGTACTCCAAAGACAGCCCTAATGACCCACCTCCTCCAGCCACACTCTACACATCCTCTGTTACCACTCAGTTAATCCCATCAGGGGATTAATTCACCAATTCGGATAAGCCTCTCATAACTTAATCATTTCTCCTCCAAACCTGCGTTGTCTCATACATGAGTTTTGGGGGGACATATCACATCAAAACCATAGTATCCATACTTAATTTCAAAGACTTAGTACCAAAAGAAAAGGAATGTATTTACTATTATCATACTAATAATTTTCATATTGATTACATGAGAAAGTTATAATATTTTGGATATTTTAGGTTAAATAAAATATTAAAGATTGCCTTTGCATGTTTCTTCTTTATTTTTTGATGTGACTATAAAATTAGAAATTATATATGTAACTGTCCTATTTTTAAATAAATCTTGGAATTCTACCCCAATATATGCTCACCCTTTCTTCTTAAATAAAAGTTTCTAGTTTTTCTAATAAAAGAGTATCAGAATTAAGACTCTCCCAGCTCTCTTGCAGCTGGGTATGGACATTGCTTTGCACTGTGGACGGCGTATGAAAAGAAGTGTTGTGCGCCTTTCAAAGAGAAAGTTTATCCCATCCCATTCCTTTTGCCTGGGTCCCACTTCTGCCTGGAATTTAGATGAAGTGATACATCACCGTGGGCCTTGTGAATGAGAACAAAACCCTTCAGATGACAGAGCAAGAAGATAAAGAAAAGATGGTCCCTAGACAACTGGGTAGGTC